GGCAATGTGTTGATCCTTACTGTAACATCTTGTGGGTTTAGCTAAAATATAAATACCCTGATATGCTTAAAAAGTGAAAACAGATTCAAGCAGTAGATGAATGTGCCTTTCTTTCTTCCAAATTTCCCCAGAGAAACTGCCTTCTCATTCTGACTTTTATGTGACAGAAAAATCACCTACAAATGCACTGGAAATATTGAACATAATTTCACTGAGGCCATGTAGTAGGTCACAGCAACTGGGTCTTATGGCTTGCTCCTAACCTGAGCTAGATTTAATTCCAGAACCCAGGTGGGCTACAAAGTGACACCCTCTTTTCATTATCCTTTTTTTTTTTTTTAAACTGTGATTCTGCAGTAGTTTCAGCAATAAACAGGCTGAAAGAAATCCTTGGAGGCTTATCATCAAAGTTGGATATAGCAAAAGAGATATAAGGCACCCAGCAAGAAACTGTCTAGACAAGAGTCCCAGAGCTTCTCCTTTTGTATTTCTTCCTTCCTCTGTCATTCTACAAGATCATTGTCTTCAATGTTTTTCATAAGGGTCTACCCTGGAGTGGTCTGAAAAGCAAAGAGTAGAGAATAAACTTTGCCAGAAGAAACATAACTGCACTGAGGGAGTGGAGGTAGGGCAGCTTTATAGTGATCTTGGCAAAAAAGCACCATGTGAAATTTAGAGGTCACTCAGTTCTGCCCTTCACCTCATGCATGTGGTGGTCTTGGATTACCATCAGAGTCTAGAGATCGCAGAGACCCCTACGCCACCTCAGACACAGCCTGTGAGTTGCCAGATTGGGACCCCTGAAACTTACTGGCTTCCCTGGTAGCTCAGCTGGTAAAGAATCCGCCTGCAATGCAGGAGACCCCCGATTCAGTTCCTGGGTGGAGAAGATCTGCTGGAGAAGGGATAGGCTAGCCCCTGCAGTATTCTTGGGCTTCCCTGGTGGCTCAAATGGTAAAGTATCCACCTGCAATGTGGGAGACCTGGGTTCAATCCCTGGGTTGGAAAGATCCCCTGGAGAAGAGAACAGTTGCTTACTCCAGTATTCTGGCCTGGAGAGTTCCATGGACTGTATATGATTGCATGCAGTGGCCAGCCCTGCAGGAACCAGGGGATCTGCCTATTTTATGGCTGGATCTTGCCCAGATGAAGGAGGGTGAAGGATTAATAACTCCTGCTCCCCATTAAACCCTAGTTCCCTTACAGGAAGCTGTAATCAAACCCACAGCCTATTTAAGAGAGTTCCCAGAGAGGATTAAAGGAAGTCAGCCTCAGACTGTTAGGAGGGAACATCCTAAAAGGTTTCCCCCAGAGGAGGAAACAGTACGTGGTGAACAAAGCCAAAAGTACAGCTGGAGGCAGAGATGATAGGGATTAAACCCTGGATTAATACTGACAGTATTAGATGAAATTGTTTAGTAGATAGTAACAGAAAATCCACCATGAGAATGTCTATTGTTTACTTAAGAAAACCTTCAGTTAAGCAGTCCCAGGTTTGTGTCAGCATCTCAGAACTCAAGGGTTCTGAGTCAAAGTCTTTGCAGTTTTCTTCCCCTCATGATGACAGAATGGTTGCCATAATTCCAGGTATTGTGACCTCACAGAGCCATTTTCAAAGGCAGCTAGCAGAAATGTTCTTTGTGTGTCTTCTATCTTTCATCAATTATAATCATAACTAACATTTTTGAACATTTGCTATCTTTCAGAGACTATCCTAAGTGCCTTACATGTATTAACTCCTTTAATTCTACAGCAGATAAGAAAAATCAAAGCACAGAAAATGCAATTACCTTTACCAAGGTCCCACAGACAAGAAGTAGTAAAGCTGGACTCAAGCTTTTGACAGTTCAGCTCTAGAGCCTGTACAGTATTAAACCACCTCTCCATTAGGGAAGAAGAGATTTGCCAGAAGACCCTTGGCAACTTCACCTTACGTGTCATTGTTTAGACCTGGGTCACGTGACCACACTGGCTGCAAAGGAGGCTGGGAATACAAATATCTGCCTATTTCAACCTATAGGAAGAAGGAGGCTGTGATGGTCAGTTAAATAGCCAACCAAAAGTATCTGCCATGGTTGCAAAAGAAACAATGGCTCTTGTCATAACTGAAAGGTTCTAGTGCACTAAGGGTTTAGGTGAAAGTCTCAGGTCACAGGGCTATTTGGCTTACTGCCACTGGGGAAGAAAAGCAAGCTTCTGCTCAAGACCAGCCGGGAATAGCAAAAATGCCAGGAGCCTGGTAGTCGTATCTTTCAACCAGTCATTGGAGTGTCTGTGCCTGAGCAGTTCTTATTAAATTATTCATCCTGATTTAATGAGGAGGAAATCAAATGCAACAGGTGTGGTTCTTCCTTCTTGTTGAACGGCTTTAAAACAAGCTTTCAGACACAGGTTGCCTTGGGGGGAAGCAGCAGGAGGACAAAGCGGCTGTATTTTAAGCTAATTACCAAAATGCTACACTTACTAGTACCTGTCGAAGACGAACATTTGCTCCCATGTCAGTGGTCATAGGATAAAAATATGGAAAGAAAAAGAATATATTACATAAGCAATTTGCTTTACATGTACTTTTAAAAAAAGCCTCTTGAATGCAGAATATGGTCACATCTCAAGTGTTATTGTACCTGCTTGTAAACTTGAGTAGAATCTCATTTTAATAAGCTTGAAGAGACTTCTGAATTGCTACATTAGATCCAAATCTCATTAAACTTGAAGCCTATTGCTATAATATACTAAATATACTCTATTGTTTCCTGGGCTTAAAATTCACTTGCACAAAGACAGTGTTAGGTATGCAATTCATTTGCAAAGATGTGGGGAGGATAGGGAGGAAGAGATAGGCACCAAAGGACATGCTTGCCTTGTGCCAACCCATTAGGGCCAGAGAAGGTAAATGATGCTACATCTTTTTGCACTGACTGTAACTGAATACAACACAATATCTTCATGAAATGCAACCTGTTTTTCAAATCTTGGGTGGTTATGTTTCATGGTTTTATAAATTGTGTGGTTGTTTGGTTTTGCCCCTATTTTTCTTTCTCTTTTTTGGTCATGAGCTCATTGTGTTAGTACTAACAGCTAAAATAGGATGTAAAATGAGCAGGGTTTTGAATTGCCATATCTATTCAGAAAATAATTAAAGGTTCACTAAAGACAGTCTGTAACTGGACAATGCTGAGAGTTCACAAAGCAAACCTACCCAGACCCACTCTTGTTACTCCCTGGCCCTACAGATAACCATCACCTCCACTGTCCCTCGTCTCCCTGAACCTCAGTTTTCTCATCTGCAAAATAGGGAACTGGACTCCATGATTTCTTGGGCTTTGAAGGCCTGAGATTCTGAAGTTCTGTGATTCTGTACACCCCTAGGTCAATATTTAACATAGACCCCAAATTCAATAAATATTTTTAAGCCACAACTGACATGCTTTTGCATATGCTGCTAAGAATATTTAACAGAGCGATAAGGAATATGGTCAATCATATTGTAATAATTTTGTATGGTGAGAGATGGTTACTGGACCTGTGGTAGTGATGATTTTGTAATGTATTTGGATTGTCAGATCACAATGCTATATATCTGAAACTAACATAATGTTGTATATCAACTATACTTCAATAAAAAGAATACTTAATAATGCAAACAAAACTCTATATGAAAAGGAAATATCTTCATTCAGAAAGCAGATGATTAAGAGGATAAATATTTCTAAATGCTTTGTTGCACTGGGATTTTTGTTCCCCAATACTATTTCCTGTGTGCACCCTGACAAATAATGTTAAGATGTAAAGCACTCTTAAGGGCATGGAAATAGCCTTGTTCGGTTGGACGTTAAAATGACATTCTACTTACATTATGCTTTATGAATGGAAGGTTAATGGAATTGTGCATGTTTCAGTTTTCACTCTGCAGGTTATTTTGTAACAAGGATGAGACTGTCCTACCTTTAATCTGGTGTTTTATTAAATTAAATGCATTGCAAGGAAGGGCCATTTTATTCTGCTGTTCTATCTTATATTCACAAGCAAAAGGCCTGCCAAATGCTTCTCTTGTTGATTCTTTTAGGAGCCTCCTATTTCCAGTGAATGTGATATAAGCCCATACTTAGTACATGGAAGAAAAATATTATTAATTTCTTTAAATCAAAGGTCTTTAAACAAAGGCAGGAACTTCCTTTTGGGTTTTTATGATTTGCTATTATCTCACCTAAAAAGGTAAAGACTTAAGCATATGAATGGTTAACTCAGGGTTCTCAACTAACGGCTTACCATATCCCTTAACTCAGTAGCTCTTAGCTGGGGGGTTATTGGCATTGGTGGAATGATATTCAATATTTGGTTTGCATGACTGACCATGCATTGCAAAATATTTGGCATTCCTGTCTCCCACCCAGTAAACACCAGAAGCATACTCTGACCACTGTGACAACCATACTTGCCCTATACACACTACCAAAGGCCAACACCTCTGAGAGAGTCCTCTGCAGAAAGGAGGTCTGGTAATAAGAGATTAGTTTTCAAAAGCCCAAAGAGGGTCTGTGTCCACATGTGGAGAATGTGACATTTCATCTTTCCAGTCCTCATCTCCAGTGGATGTACCTTGGTGACTTCATTGCTCCCTGAATGATGACAAATATTAAGAGGAAAATCATAAGAGAGAATGTTTGAGAAGCATATGACTTATAAAAAGGCATATACTTTCTCTAGATCTTGAATAAGCATCAAAGCTTGCAACATGTAACTTTATAGAAAACATACACATTTCTTTTTTGTACCTTATGGAATAGACTACATGTGTCCATGGTAAAAATAACTCTTGAGAAGTAAAGATCTTGTGTAATGAGAAACACAACTAGAGAATGAGTGGATTTTATTTCCTTTTCCAGATTCTTCTGTGGTACCAGGATTTTGAATTCCAGTAGAGTTAAACATTTTTGGGTGTTGGGTGCTAAGTGAGACAGATGCTCTCTTGGGCCCGTGAAAGATGAATCAGGCATGTACTCTGCTTTTGAGACTCACAGCTGTGCCTGGGAGGCTGACTGCTGGAAAACCAGAGTGTAAAGTAATAAATACCACCATGGAGGTATGTTTACATGTGACGGGAATCAGGGAAAGGGGTAGCAGATTTCACCCAGGCATCAGGGAGTGGTGGTGGTGGGAGCAGGCAGAGACTGGCAGATCCAGGGAAGGCTTCAAAGAAAAGGGATCAGGTGAGTGGGCCTTGAAGAGTAGTACATGGGCCTTTGCCAGGTGGTGGTGGGATAGGGAACAGAATTCTAGTAGAGAGCAGCATATATGTGGTCACAAAGGTGTGAAAAAGAATGGAGAAAATCCAGTGTGGTGAGGCATTGGTGGAAGAGTGCTGGAACAGTTGGTAATAGATGGGTCAGGGTAGCAGCGTTTAGAGGTCCTGAGGTACCAGGCTAAGAAGTTGGAACTTAATTCTTAGGTAGAAAGGAAGCAATTTAGATTTTAAGCAGGAAAGTAAAATAATCAGATTTACATAGGGACAGAACTCTGATGGCAATATAGAAGATGGATAAATGTAGACAACTTCAACCAGGGATACCAGGTAAGTGAATTAACTGAATACTTCACTTTTAAGCATTCCTTCTTAAGGCTTGAGAAACCAAGTCAATTCATAGCAAATTGAAGGCAGGTAATAAATTTGAACTAAAGAGCCTCTTGATGAAGGTGAAAGAGGAGAGTGAAAAAGCTGGTTTAATCTGGTCCCATCACTTCATGGCAAGTAGATGGGGGAAAAGGAAAACAGTGGCAGATTTTATTTTCTTGGTCTCCAAAATCACTACAGACAGTGACTGCAGCCCCCAAATTAGAGGACGTTTGCTTCTTGAAAGAAAAGCTATGACAAACCTAGACAGAATATTGAAAATCAGAGACATCACTTCGTATAGTCTGTATAGTCAAAGCTATGGCTTTTCCATAGTCATCTATGGATGTGAGAGTTGGACCATAAAGAAGGCTGAGCAGCAAAGAGCTGATACTTTTGAATTGTTGTGCTGGAGAATACTCTTGAGAGTCCCTTGGACAGCAAGGAGATCAAACCAGTCAATCTTAAAGGAAATCAACCCCAAATATTCATTGAAAGCTCTAATACTTTGGCCACCTGATGTGAAGAGCCTACTCACTGGAAAAGACCCTGATGCTGGGAAAGATTGAGGGCAGGAGAAGAGGGTGACAGTGGATGAGATGGTGGAATGACATCATTAACTCAGTGGACATGAGTTTGAGCAAACTCCGGGAGACAGTGAAGGACAAGGAAGCCTGGCGTGCTGCAGTCCATGGGGTCACAAAGAGTCAGACATGACTAGTGAACAACAACATCTGAGGGGCAGAACTGGGATCTGGATTCAGGTCCTAGGCTCTAGAACTGGCATTCTTTTTTAAGATTTTTTTTTTTTTTAATGTGAACCATTTTTAAAGTCTTATAGAGTTTGCTACAGTATTGCTTCTGTTTTATGTTTTGTTTTTTGGCCACAAGGCATGTGGTATCTTAGCTCCCCGACCAGGGATCAAACCCACACCCCCTGCATTGGAGGGTGAAGTCTTAACCACTGAAATACCAGGGAAGTCCCTAGAACTGGCATTATTGACAGTTGTACCTTTGCAGCAGAGATGGTGGGCTGCTTTCTCCAGTTTATACTTCACTACTGCATTTACTAACCTCCTTGTTCTAGGGGGAGGCACGTGACTAGTTCTTGCCAGTGGAATATAAACTTTGGTATTGAGTGTCAGCTGTGGGCAGAGAGCCTTCTCCATACTCTTGTCTTCTGCCAGCTGAATACAGATGATGAGAATGAGGCTCCAGGGAACAAGGCCACGGTGTGGAAGAGCCCGTGTCCCTAAGGCATAACCTGGAAGAAAACTGCTGAACCAAAACCCTTGTGTTGTATCATGACATAAGCAGGAAAGAAGCTGGGATCTGGGGGTCTGTCCACAGTGTAATATAGCACTGCTGCCTCCCTTTCTTGCCTTTGGGTCAAGAGCAGAACAATAAGCTTAAAGCTTGAACCTCTGGTGCCCTGGTAGGTTACCTAACTTTGCTAAAGGATCGTGGTAATAACCTCAGATTGCATGGTTTTCCCACACCAAGAGTGGCTCCCTCTTTTCATTCAGCATAACAGAAAAACAGAAGGTGTTAAAAACACCGAGTATGTTTGTAAACACATTGTTCTCGTGTCTTCTCAAAATCCTTGAAAACTCAGGAAGAGGAAAACAGCAGAGCTTTGAGCCTAGTCGCACCTCTCATCTGTGAGAGGCCTCCATTCTAGTCCAATTTATATTTAGACGTCACTCCCTCTTTTACACCCCTGCCTGCCGGATCGCAGTCACCTTTGGTGTGAAACCTGGCACATGTTTAATGGGCGCACAAGAGACGACACAGCTGTTTCCAATAGTAAGCAGAAGAGTAACACACCTGGCGAAAGGCAGCGTGAGTGGAAAGGAGGAAAGCTAGCAATGTGCAGAGTTCACCTACACACCTACCCCGCTGTGAACTTTGTCACTGCTGTGGGCGCCTGGGGTCCATCCCAGAGGGACCCTCAAGGGAGGCATACAGACTGCACCTCAGTGTTATCTGCCTGTGAGTAGAAAGGGAAAGCACTTACCCAGGAGAGACCGTCCCCCACTAGTCAAAGGTTGCCCAGTGGGGTGTTAAGCCCTGAGACCCTCCAGGTTGCACATTCCTGGGGGCCAATTCCAACAGGTACACCACGCTCAGATGTCAAAGAGGCCCCCCTTAGAGAAGAGAGGCTGTGAGGTGGGGCACCAGCCGTGTCTGATACCGGCCTCAATGTTAGACAATGCAGGTGGGATTTGAAACCAATACCTTCTAATTCCAGAGAACAATGTCACAGCTCACACACTGGGGAGAGAACAGGCCTGGAACTTGGAACATTTACTTCTAGTTCTGGAATTGCTACACCTGGCTACTTGATTTAGGCAAGTTCTTTAATAGCTCGATCTCAGTTGCCTTACCTCTAAAATAGGGATACTGAACTAACTCATTCCCCAAAGTGTGTTCAGTTTTACAGTAGTGTTGCAGAATATTGATTAGCAGGTATAGTTGAGAAGAGGGAGTTTTGTGGCTAAGTAATACTGGTAAATGCAGCAGTTATGCAGATTTCTTCACTGAAGAAATAAAAGTTATGCAGATTTCTTCACTGAAGGATATCTCAGAGTCTTTTTTTTTTTTTTTTTCATTTGTTTATTTGGCTGCACTGAGTCTGCCACTACATGCAAGATCGTTTTTATTTGTAGCATGTACAATCTAGTTCCCTGACTGGAAATCGACCCTGGGCTCCCCCATTGGGAGTGCAGTCTTAGCCCCTGGGCCAGAAAGCCCCATATCTCAGAATCTTTATAACATATATTACACAAGCTACTTTATTCAAAAAACATTTCAAAGAACTAATTTGATTGACATTTATTGAGCAGTTACTATTTGCCAGGAATCATGCCAAGATCTTCTCTTACGTTGTCTCAGTCATTCATTTCTTCAGAACAATATTTGTCAAGCTTCCTGCTATGTGACCACATTGTTCCTGGCACTGGAGATACCTCCGGGAATAAGATAAAGTCCCTGATTTTTACCTGGGAGTGAGGTAAAGACAGACAAGAAATAGGTAAACATGAACAAAGAAATTGGCATGCCTCATCTCATTGTATTCTCAATTACTGCAACAAGGACTATCTCTATCATGCCTATTTTATAAATAATGAGACTAAGGATTAGAGCAGGTAACAGTTAAAATCACAGAGGTGGACGTGCTAGAACTAGGACTGTATCTGCATTAAAGTCTAATTTTAAAGTGCTGTTGGCATTGGGTGAGCAGCACCGGATTCATCAGTATCCTGCGTCCAGCACATATCTTGTCATCAGTCCACATACAGCTCATGCCCATGGCTATTGAGGTCGCCACCTCTCTGCTCTGTTGTCTTGTCCACCGTTCTGAAGGTCACTCTTGTGCAAAACTTCAGTTTGAGACACAATGCAGATAGTCTAGAAGGAGGACCTCTGGCCATAATGAGACAAGCAGCAGCAAAAGGTTTTGCTCATACCCAAGTGGAGGTTTGGAACTCAAAAGAATGAGAGGTGACAGTTTTGCAAAGTATTACATAGTGTCTCATTAGTTATGCCTCTCAACAATTCTGAATAGAGCTAAACCATTTTTCTCTTCTTACTGTAACATTTACAATTTTTCTCTATAAAAAGTAAATGGTGTTTGTGGAAGTTCTTGCACCTTTAATACTCTAAGGAGTGACCTGTCAGTAATAAGCTGAGTTTTAAAGCATATACTTTTCCTTGACACATTCCTTTGAAGAAAATTAAAAATCCAGGACCTGATTTTAATGATCCTTTGGTCTGTGATATTACTCTCAGAAAAAATAAAGTAGGGAAGGAGAATTATACTTTCTGTATATGACCTACTGAAATAATCAGGATTGTTGCATGTTAGTTATAATGAACTATCCTTTGAAGATATAGGCTATTTGTATGTAGATAACACTTCCTTAAATGCTTTGCTATTTTTACCATTGAGAGACCCCTCATAAAGCTCAATCTAGATCTAATCTGACTTTAAAATTCCCAGATGAAAGGAGCTTGAAGGAGTTACAATTTGTGTAAAATCCCCACAGTAAATGGAAACATCACTCACATACACCATTGTGTTTAAATAGTTATGTGACCACATTTGGAAAATGAAAAAAAAAAAAAAAAGAAACACTGTTCTTTGTGGAGACTTGCATAATTAAAGAGTCACAAATAATAACAACAACACAGGATAGTCTGAGGATGATGAGACCTCAGTCATTTGAGGCCTTTAGGACCACATCCCCCATTGAAACTGGAATCTCTAGCCATAGAGTTCCCTCTGCTTCCACTGGTTGACTTCCAGCTGGGCCATGTTCTTCTGGTGTGCATTAGAGAAAAGAACAGGAACTGGAAAATGTATGAGAGAGTAAATGTAGTGCCATTCACCATAGACCATGTCGTTTTTTTAAAAAAATATATCATTTTACTTAACAGGACTCAGGCAGAGATCACAGAACTGACACAGTAAAGGTGACTTAGAACGTGTTAGAGGCTGCTCCAGGAGAATGTCCAAGGCCTCAGCACTTTCATGACTTGCCACTAACCATAAAGTTTAGTTTAGTCACTCAGTCATGTCCTACTCTTTGCAACCCCATGGACTGTAGCCTACCAGGCTCCTCTGTCCATGGGATTTTCCAAGCAAGAGTCCTGGAGTGGGTTGCCATTTCCTTCTCCAGAGGATCTTCCCGACCCAGGGATCGAACCCAGGTCTCCCACATTGTAGGCAGATGCTTAACCGTCTGAGCTACCAGGGAAGTGTAAGCCAAGCCTCAAAACCTCATTCTCTGTTTCTCTACAAGAAAATATGGTTGACCATGTCCAACCTTTTTAGAATAACCCAGGTTTCACCAAATGTGAAGTATAATTATATTATATTCAACTAGATGGTCAAGGGAGGTGTATCTGCTATTCTAAACAGGTCGTGGTGGAAAACTAATTACAGATGACTGCAGAGAGAAAAGGGCAGAGTGTGTGGATAGTGAAATAGAAAAACACATTACAAAGCAAAGGCCGTCTCACTTGATCTTTGAAATTATTGATTCAGGATTCCTGAGTCTTGGTTAAGAGGAAGTAAATGTTAAAGCTGTAACTCTCATCTTACACAGAGGAGTGTAAGAACTCTCTACAAGAACTCTTTGGTTACCCATGCAAAAGCAGAAAGAAGAGGATAGCTCTTGCAAAGGAAATGTTTGCCTGTCTTACTAGAATAAAATCAGAATTAGAAGTGCTTTCCAGAATGGCTGGGATAGCAAAGTTCTCTGCTTTAAAGGGGATTTAGTCCAATGGTCCCCCAGTGCTTTGATCCTTTCTACATCGTTGTTCCCAGGCTTAGACCTCCTGTGGGTCGGAAACCTACCTCTGACCTGACACAGCCTACATTTTTATGAGGAAGACACAAACGAAACACTACCTACTTGAAAAGTCTGAAAGAGGCAACGAAAAGGAGATACTCATGATAGGTATGGATGGCTCATTTTTTTCTCTTCAGTAATTTATCAGACATATATTGAGCAATTTCTATGTCTCTACCAGGTCTTGGAAACACCAGAGTAAATTCCATCTTGGTTTGGAGTGCTTTCTGTTTTGCCTTGTGTGATAAAAAGGACAGATAAGTCATAGGAAGCCACACTGTGGTAGCTAACAGGGGAGATACACAGTCTAGGAGCACAGAGAAGAGATGTTTAAGAAAATCTCGGAAATCAGTGAAACCTTCTACAAGTTGCCAAACAATAACCATGAAAAGGAGATTTGGATCACTGAATTTCCTTACTCATAATCTTTCCTTTTTTCATAATCTTCTCTTGGTATCCAAGCACATAGAAGCTATCATTTTTTAAAATTTTATTGTGATTGATTTATAGGGCTGTGTTTAATTTCTACTGTATAGCACAGTGACTCAGTTATACGTACATATATTCTTTTTCATATTCTTTTCCATTATGGTTCATTACAGAATACTGAATATAGTTCTCTGTACTGTACTATACTGTCATATCTTGTTTATCTATCCTATGTATACTAGTTTACATCTGCTAATCCCAACCTCCCAATCCTTCCCTTCTCTCCCCTGCCCCTGACAACCATAAGTCTGTTCTCTGTATTTGTGAGCCTGTTTTTGTTTCATATTTTCATTTATGTCATATTCTAGATTCCACATATAAGTGATGTGATATCGTGTTTGTCTTTCTTCTTTCTGACTTACTTCACTTAAGTAGGATAAGTTCTAGGTCCATCCATGTAGCTGCAAATGGCATTATTTCTTTCTTATGAAATAATGGCATTATTTCATTATTTCATATGGCTGTATATATGTACCACATCTTTTTTATTCATTCATCTATCAATGGACATTTAGGTTGATTCCATGTCTTGGCTGTTGTAAATAGCACTGCTGTGAACATAGGGGTGCATTTATCTTTTCAAATTACAGTTTTGTCTGGGTATATGCCCAGAAGTGGTTTGCTAGATAATATGGTAACTCTATTTTTAGTTTTTTGATGAACTTTCGTACTGTTTTCCATAGTGTCTGCACCAATTTACATTCCCACCAAGAGTGTAAGAGGGTTTACTTTTCTCCACAGGCTCTCCAGCATGTATTACTTGTAGGCCTTTTAATCACGGCCATTCTGACTGATGTGAGGTAGTATCTTGTTGTTTTGATTTGCATTTTTCTATTTGTGATCATGAGCATCTTTTCATGTGCCTCTTGACCATCCGTATGACTTCTTTAGAGAAATATCTATTTAGGTCTTCTGCTATTTTTTGATTGGGTTGTTTGTTTTTTAATTATTGAATTGTAGGAGCTGTTTGTATATTTTGGAAAATAAGCCCTTGTTGGTTGCATCATTTGCAAATATTTTCTCCCAGTTCATAGGTTGTCTTTCTGTTTCATTTATAGTTTCCTTTGCTGTGAAAAAGCTTGTAAGTTTGATTTGGCCCCATTTATTTTTGCTTTTATGTCTATTGCCTTGGGAAATGAAACCCCTTTTGGAAGTGTACTCTATTTCTTTTCCCTGAATACTGTCACCCTGTGCTGTGGTGAGTTGAAGATCTCTGCCTCTGAGGACCTATTCACAGTCTGCTAATAGAATGAATGTTTGTGTCCCCTCAGAATTTATATGTTGAAGCTGTAGCCCATATTGTGATGGTCCTGGGAGGTGGGATCTTTGGAAGGTGATTAAGATTAGATGAGGTCCTAAGGATGGAGCCTTCATGAATGAGATTAATGTGCTTAGAAGAATCACAAGAGAGACTGCTTTGTCTGCTCTCTGCCATGCAGGATACCGTGAGAAAGCAGCTGTCTGCAGCAAGGGAGAGATCTCACAAGAACCTGAGCACGCCTACACCCTGATCCTAGACTTGCAGTTTCCAGAACAGTGAGAAATAAATTTCTGTTATTTATAAGCCCCCGCCACTCTATCTTATTTTGTTATAGCAGTCTGAGCTATGACATGGCTCCTTGCTTACCTTCACTTAGTCTTACAGGTCACACTGGTCTCATGCCATCTGAATCCTTTACCAGACTTGGTACAAAGGCAGTGCTGGGCACAGGTCCAGTTGAAGAGCTTGGCCTTCATCATTGTCTTTTAACCAAAGCACAATGTCAGCTTTGTCTCTTTTATTATGCTGATAGCCTGCACTAATCAAATTTAACATTTTTGTCCTTCTATTCATTTTCTATAGCTATCATTTCTTTAATATTTCATTACCTACTTTTTTAGAGGAAATGGTTTTTTTGTCCAGTGTGGCAAGGGTGTGGTAGAGGAGATGATTGCAAAGGATTTATCTACATAGAGCTTCACATAAAATCAGTTACTATCAGTTCAATAAAAAATTGTGTCTATTATGTGCCAAGTGTAGGCAACTTAAATTTCGGGTCTATAACTTGTCCATGCAAATAAATGAGTAGATGGATGGATGGATATATGGATGGATGTGGCTGGAAGAAAAGTCAAACAGATAAGGCAGGTGTCTCTGTTCTCCAGAATGCCACCAAAAGGAAAACAGTTCACATTCTTAGTGGGATATATGCCATAATTAGAGTTGCCGTGTTGTCTAAACCAAGACTGCCAAGTGCTGGCATCCTTGTGTAGATAAACTGACAGAATATTTGAAACAGATTGCTGAAGAGCTAGGACTTAAGTTCACTCTACCTGTAACACAAGAAAAAAATAAAACATTCAAAGAAAAAAAATCAATTCTGAACAGGAAAAGGGGGGTGTTTACACGAAGGAGTTGATATGTGGGTTGGCTGTGAGGGGCGAGCAGGCTCATCCCATTAGGCAGCCAGGAAGGGCAGAGCATCGTAGTGGAGATCACACTGTGCCAAGGGCCCAGGGCTGGGTTAGCTGCTCCCCAGTGGGCCAAGAGGATTGGGGTTCTACCCTGAGGTGCTGGGAGATGCTTGAAAGCAGAACTAGGCTTACTGGTGAAGGGGTTTTTTACTCCATAAGAAATGAGGAGACAGAGATGAAGTGACACTTTAAACCTGAACTGAGAAGAAGCACCAGGGAGTCTGACAACTCAGCTTGAGCTCCAGAAGGGCACAAACCATGTCTCCTAGTTCAACAGAATTCCACAGTAAACATTAGAGCTTAAAGGAAGATTAGAAGAGCTCCACTTCCTAGGCCACCAGTCCTCATCTCCAAATGGGAAAACCCGATGACTTGAATGACTCACCTGACTGCTCAAATGACTCAGTTATTACTTAATGATAAAATCAAATTTATGCTTTGCCACTTACTATCTCTGACTTCGGGCAAATTACTTAACTTTCCTCACCCATAAATTCATGGTTGGTGTGATGATTCAGTGGTAATATATGTAAAGTGCTTCGTAACATGCCTGATATGTAGGAAGAACTCAAAATTAGCATAAGTTTTATGAACAAAAATAGTAACTACAATGTTATTGAAGTTTCTTGATTTTGTCCAATGCTCTTTTATATATGTCAGTAGGGCCCAATACTGGCTGATCCTCTTAATCACCTGGGAGGTTTTAGACAGTTATAAATTTCCTGGCCTACTCCAAGCCTACTGAATATGAATCTTGAGATGGTTGGGGAACCTGAGCTTTCAAAAATTTCCATAGCTGTTCCTGACAGTACGAACTAGGATTAGAAACATTTGCCCGTATTTACTGCTGTTCAAACTTTATTTCCTGGCTAAGAAATAGGAATTAGGTATAGGATCAGGGGGTTGGGGGAGGGGTATTGCACATAATACTGTGTTCCCAGCAGGTTAGAAACGCACATCTGTGCTCCTAAGAAAGGAGGGATTGAACCACAAGATTGGAAATGGGATATTTATCGCTGGTGGAAATGATTAATTATGACCAGTTTTGCACATACATTTGCATGCCTCCTAATATAACATATGCAAATACAACTTTAATAACATGACTTGTTTGCCAATGTTGAATGCTAACTGTAAATAATTTCTATTTTTTGTAGTGTTTAGGAAAATTCAATATGGCACTTGCTGGCAGACAGTTGCTGTCTCCTGGATTTAGCAACATATTAAGTAATCACTACAGAAACATTTTTACTTACTACTAACAAAAAAAGTCTAGACAACAATTTGTGGCTGTCTATGAAATCAGACAATAGATAAAGCAGAAATAATTTAAATTTAAGGAAACAAATTTAAATATGGCCTATAGTTTCCTTTTTTTCTTACTAAGATTTTACTTATACAGAAAAAAATAGGGATTGGAAGTTTCACCCCTTCTTTTAGGATCCTAGTTAGTCTTTCTGATGTCATCAACAACCAACATAAGGTGGGCAATAGAATAAAGGAGAGAAAATAAGCAGGCACTCTGGTAAGCCAGTATCTGAAAATATTAATCCCTGAATAACTACTGTTAATGTCCTCCTCTCCCTGCGTTTCCTCCACCCCACCTCATCCCCACCATTCCCCAACACCAGCCCATTGTTCTTAGTCTGTATAGGAATCAAAGAAACTTTTGTTTGACCTGCAGATTCCTGGGACTCCACTTTCAGAGTTTTTGATACAGTATGTCTAGGGGGCGGGAATCTGCAATAAGAACAGTACCCTTCTCCCTAACCAACCAACCCTGTGGTTTTGATGTAGATGGTCATCAGGACATACTTTGATAAACACTGCCTTGGGTAATGTAGAGCCTTCAGATTCAGTGGTTCCTGGTCCAGTTGCATCAACATCACCTGAGTTCATCAGACATGCAGAATGTCTGGATCCAATCCAGGTCTGCTCAAACAGAATCTGCATTTTAACAAGATCCGGAGCGTGATTCCTGGGCACACTCAGGTTTAAAAAGCTTTGGTATTTTGCAGACCAAAGAGAAGTATCTTCTCCCCTTTTTGCATGTATGAACCTATTTGGTTTTTTTTTGTTTTGTTTTTCTGACAGTCTTCCTCTCCTCAGTTACCTGGGATTGCTGAATTCCTAAGGTGGGTCCCCAGACCTCCTGAGTCAGAAACCCTGGAGGTGGCAGCAGGGAGGGGCCAGCAGTATGTGTTCTAGCAAGCCCTCTAGCCTACCAGGTCTGGGTGATTCTGATGCATGACAAAATTTGAGAACCACTGGCATAGTGGATGTTGTTGACCAGCATTTTAAAATGAAGTTTCACTAGAATACTCAGCGTCTTCAGTTGTGTATAACAAACAGGCCAGTGCCACCTGAGGCAGAGCACATCACACAGACTTGTGCTTTGCAAAAGAATCAGTGAATCATGCAGCATGTCCTACCTCCCGCTTCACTGGTCAAGAGGATGCTTCAGCTAATGCAAGTGTTGGAGGTGATTGTCTCTTGTAGTAATTAATGAAATGCCAGGATCTGGGAGCACCCTGGGCAGCTAAGCTGTGTAATGGTATCAGGATGAGTGGCTGAGACAGTTGCTTTTCAAAGGAAACATAACTTCCTGATCCAAATACCCTGGCGATTACAAATTAGTATTTTCCACTTTCTGGTGACTGACCCAACTGGAACAACCTGAATGAAAATACCAAGGTTAGATGATGCTCAAGATAGAGCCCCTGGATGTGAACTGGGGGCATGATGTGGTGGAAGCATCAGGGATAATATGACTGGACCACTCAGCAAGTCAATTTAAGCTGAGTACACCCACCTTCATTTCACTCTTGTTTCAACTTTCCAATAGGCTGATATACTCAGTGCCCAACCTAGTAACAGGTAACTCTTGAGTTAGAGGTTTCTGTTTCTCTCAGCTTCTCGCTGTATGTCTTCAATTCTTTTTCTCTGTCTCTCTCCCTGTCTCTCTGTCTCTTCCTCTGTCTGTATCTCTTCATCACATTCTATGCCCTTCTGTCTCTGACCCTCCCCACCTTCCCATCTCAATCCCTTTAATGAAAAAAATTGAGCTCACCTCCCAGGGGGTTGTGGGAGGTGAAGGGGACTTCAATATGGACAATAGTAAAGAGACTGCCAATAGGTTTTTGTTGGTACTGTTGATTACTTTTCTGACGTTGGAAAGCTGCATTTTATCCTGCTATCTCTGCTCCTTTTTTTTTTTTTAATTTGCAAGTGTTTGCTATAGATTATTATCATGTTATTTCTCCGTGGGACTTGAGTACTAGTTTATCAAAATGTCAGCAGAAAGACCAAAAGTCAAGCAAATTTGCTGCAATAAGGAGAGGCTGTAAATTTGCTGTCAGTTAAGAAATCCTCTCAAATTCAAAGTGCAAATCTAACCGAAAGCAGTTTTTAATAATTGAGACTGAATGAGTATGAGGTTAACCCAGTGTACATGCACTTTGATCTTGGGCCTTGTTAAATTTCTCAATTTTAATAATAGGGACTATTATTTATGCTATAATTCTAGGAGCTATGCTATCAGAGAATGCCTAAAATATAAAATCAGGTTCATTTTGCTAATTTCATTTGTTGAAACTCATATCTGCTCCTCTTTTATTCTTTTTGAATGTTAATAATGATATATCCAGGAATAACTTTCTTCTTCAAGTCTTAATTACAGTTTGGGTGAAATACTGAACCATTTTAACATTATAAATATTTGGCAAATAAGCCTGATAAGAGAAATTTTTATAAAGGTTTTCATTGTGTCTTGGATAAAAGCACAAAGAGATGAAACATGTGGAGAAAGACCTTTACCTCCTTGGAATTTTAATTCTTTCTGCAATACACAAAACAGTGGAGTCACAGAAGACCAAAAAAAAAAAAGACTTCCTCAAATCTAATTATCAAAAAGCAATTCATCTTGCTTGAGTATTTCAATCAACACATCCCTGAAGCCACTTTCTCAATTTGCCCTCCTGTCTGATGTATGGATCTGTGTGTGTGTGTGTGTGTGTGTGTGTGTGTATGTGTGTGTATCATTTGGAGAAACCTCTTAGCATATGGTGGGAAAAGGCTGTTTTGTTACTTTTATTTCTTACTGGCCTATTT